TTAGGGTTTAGGGTTATGAATCCTTTTTTAGAAGCCCCATAAATCATAAGAGTGACTCAAGACCTCGAAAGCCTTATTAAGCCCAACACCGTAGACCGGAAAGCCCTAAAGGCTCTAAAGAGCGGAAAGACCCGCGCTGCCCAAAGTCAGATCAGGACAGTTGGGCCGGGCTGCGGTCCAAGCAGCGAGGCTTCACAACCAGGACCCATCTAACCACACCAAACACACATGGGTAGTTCTCTAAATTAGGATCCCTTTTTAGGTCCCCAATATAGTACGGCACCCTTATAAAAAGGACAATTTAGAAAACTACCCACATCAGCCCCCTTTAGTCGATTTGGTTTTTCGGCGTGTGCAGCATGGCTGGTGTCCTCCTCCGCCCCTTGAGGTCGCTGAGATGGTGGAAGCTGAGCTTTGCGCACCTCAAAACAACGCGAGCCAAGGACCGACGAACGGGCTTTTCTTTGGGATTCCGAGACCCCAAGTAATTCTTTGACTTGAGGCGGGGATTCTGAACCAGGGATCTCTGGTCCAGCCTGCTTGGAGGATCATGGGACTTAGTAAGTCTTAAGTAAGGTTATAAGTACCCTAATTGGGGTTATAATTATAGTTACCTGATTTGTAACCCTAGTTACTAAGTCCCATGATCCTCCAAGTGGTCCAGCCTGGCCACGGCAAACCGAAAGCCCTGGCAGAACTCGACGCTCAGTGCGAAGCCACGTCGTCGAAGGCTTCATCCCAGATGCGCTGCTTGATAATGGCCTGGGGCAGGGAACTCAACACCCCGAGCTCTTGCTGCCAAGGCTCGGCAGGCCCTGATTTGACGACTGCGCGACCATGCTAAATCCCCCAGTGGACCCTCATGAAATCAAGCAAGTAAAGCCTTATCTCCCTGCGCACCTCCGCTCAAACCCGAACCCTTGTCGAACACTCGCTGAATCCTGGTAATTCCTCATACGAGCCTTACAAGAGAAGCTCCAAACCCTCAAGCAACTCCGCAGAAACTCTGAGCGAGGGTTTAGGACCAGTTTAGGGTGAAGGCCATTCTGAAAAATCTTGAAGACACCTCGAGATCCAGCTTCGGCCGCCGTGCCGCTGCAGCGTCGGCGCCCGGGGCATCTTCCATGGCCTGAAAGAGGAAGCTCCGTGGTCGATCGTCAGTATTAACACAACGACAAGATAGCATCAAACGACACAGATGACAATGTGCACACCGCCTGTTACAAATTCGTCTTGTAAGCTAGAGGACATGGCATGAAACTTGATATATACACTAAACGGTGGAAGGTACGCTATGTAAGGTGCTCCTTCCATCCATCCATCCGTCCATCCAT